AGCGACCCCTTTGGCGGTCAAACGACCCTTTCACAGGGGTCGCCTAAGACCATCCTGCATATCAGATATTTACATGACGATTCATAACAGTAGCAACATTACAGTTATGAAGTAGCAACGAAAATAATTGTATGGTTGGGTCACAACATGAGGAACTGTGTTTAAAGGGCCAGAAGGTGGAGAACCGCTGCTGAAACGCAGTGCCATTCCCTGGGATTGCGGTGCTGAAAGTTGCGTTTATTTTTATTTTCTTAGACTTTCCTTCCTGATATGCTTTATTTTTTAAATTTTTGTTTTATTGTTGATAGTATTACAGATATCTCCCACTTCCTCCCCCTCCCCCTGGCCCTCCCCGCTCCTCAGGTCTTCACTGCCCCATTGCCCTGCCCGTGGGCTGTGCACAGAGGTATAGGAGTTCCTTGGTTTCTCTCTTCTGAAAGTTCTGTTTATTAACAGAGGCAGGAAGTCCATGGTTGGGCTGTTTTCATAGCCAATATGCACGAGTTTGTTTGCAGCAACTGCCCCGACGGCAATGAAATTCTGCGAACCCTGGGCTCAGAAGTCAGACGTTCGCAGGAGACCCCGTGGGGCATCGGTGCGCGCTCTCTCTCTCTCTCTCTCTCTCTCTCTCTCTCAGGGCCCGGCTCCGGTCAGAGGGCCGGTTCGCGTTCCTGGGAACCTCTCGGGCTGCTCCGTGCCAGCGGCTGGCGCTGCCGCCAGCCCGTTGTCAGGTTTCGCTGCTTTTCAGGCGCTGACAAAAGGGGCAGGACGAGGCCGGCTTATCAGCGCGGATGCATTTCACGCCTCCCACCGCTCCTCGCTCCTCGAGGCTCTGCAGGGCGGGTCCTCGCATTCCCACTCGGCTTTGTTCCTCTTTCTCACACTTCCCTGGAAGGAACTTAATCCGGCCGCGCTCCTGTTCCCACCGAAGGAGAAAGGGCCCGTGTGCGGCTCCTGGAACGGAGAGCAACGTGCTGCCCCCATGATCATCCCGTCTTCCCGGGCTTGGCCCCCTCTGTGGCCACGGGAGACTGGGTGATATTTTTAAAAATATATATTTTTATTGATTTCCGAGAGGAAGGGAGAGGGAGAGGGAGAGCGAAACATCAATGATGAGAGAGAATCATTGCTCAGCTGCCTCCTGCACGCCCCACACTGGGGATCGAGCCTGCAGCCCAGGCCTGTGCCCTGACCGGGAATCGAACCTGGGACCCTTCAATCCGCAGGCCCGAGCTCTGTCCACTGAGCCACACTGGCCTGGCAACCGGTTGGTATTTCCTGCTCCGTGCCAGCTGCACGGTGGGGCAGGGGAACCTGGGGTTTTCCTGAGGGTCTTTGGAGCGGAATTCCGTGCTAATGAGCCAGCACGCCCTCCGGGAGCTGCTGTGAAACCCAGAGGTTTGCTGTCCGGCCAAGTCATTAGCCGTCTGTTCCTCCCCAGAATGTGATGCTTAGACCGTGAGCAGTTCTGTTTCAGTGAATGTTTGCAAACTGTCCATCTGGAGCCTTCAAGGGCGAAGTGCCGCTGCCTTTATTTCCTCTCCCATCTCCCGTGTACCCGGCTCCCGTGTCCGCAGTGAGGCAGCGGGTCGTTTCCGTGACTTTATCATTCAGTGCCCTCGTCTGGGGAGCTTCCCTGGTAGGTGCACGGCACAGGGCTCCTGGTGGCCCACAGCCCGGAGGGAACGGGATGGCGTTTAGGAGAAAGGCATGAAAACGCGGCTGCTATTTCTTTTGGGAAACGAGACTGGCGGGTGCCCCCGGCTCAGGGGCACCTGAGGGGCGGGTTCTCCTGGGGGGGCCCCTCTCGGTCCTTCCAGACGGAGGCCAGGCCTCGCCCTCCTCCACCCGCTTCCAGGGAGGGAGAGGCAGGAGCCGGCCCTCGGTGGTGGGTGGCAATGGTCTGGTACCTGAATTACTGTGCTCTCTCTTGCTCTCTCTCTCTCTCTCTCTCTCTCTCTCTCGGGGATTTCCAGTTTTAAAAAAACATTTTCTTATTGATTTCAGAGAGGAAGGGAGAGGGAGAGAGAGAGAAACATCAATGATGAGAGGGAATCATGGATCGGCTGCCTCTGCACGCCCCCTACTGGGGATGGAGCCCGCAACCCGGGCATGCGCCCGACTGGGAATCCAACGGTGACCTCCT